ATTCGACGGGGTTGGTGATCGCTTCGTGGACATTCATGGAAGTCTACGGCCCCGGACGAAAAAGGATTGGTCGGGTGTTTTAATTTTCAGAATCGGATAGAAGACACCTTTTGAGACAGAAATTCATGTATGTAGTCACAAAAAGTCATTGTTGCATCTTCCACTGCCTAGTGTAAAATTTTAAGCTACGCAACGCCAACTCCCGCTAGAACCAAAACAGGGGTATTTGTATCGTGTATCAATGCCTACGGCAATTCCGCCTCCATTCGAGCCTGTCGGCAAGAATATCCCAACTGTGAAGACCATCTGCACGGGCTAGACTTTTCAAGCCATCCGTTACAAAGGCGGTTAGATGGTCGAAGTTTTTGTTGACTGTTTTCATCTGCTGGCTGTATGTCGATTCACGAAATGAGACTGTGAGTGTGTGTTCGTGGTTCATATGATCGTAGTCCTCATCATCATCATTATCATCATCGGAGTCGAATTCATCTCCAGAGTCTCTCCTTTTGCGCGGTGTCTTCAAATTCTCCAGATGTTGTTGGTCGTCATCGCCGAGCAAATGCGCGGCTTGTAGATCTGCGAAATGAACACACAGATCTAGGAAACGGATGATTGCGTCATGGATGTGTGATAAATCTTTAGAGAGGAGGAGCTGGGCTTCCAAAGAAGACATGTAGGATTGATGGGCAGCTATCATGGCATCAACATCTTGTGCGCCAGATAAATCTTTGCGGAGAGATTGGGTCGCGGTGGATATTACGAGATAGGTCAGGTGGCCGTAAATGAAATCGAGGACCCAGAGCATATTATGGTGTAAAGCGTGCACCAATGTGTCATTCTCGTCAGGTGTAGTGACGCGGGCGTCGCGAATACGCTGTTTCACAATGGCATATTTAGCGCGTCTGATTTGCATCAGGAATGTTGAGATTCGTTGATAAGTGTGTATTGCGTCCTCGGTAATTATGTTTGCAATCGGCCACGGGAGGCCATAATCAATTGAGATTGCTTCCAGAATCCCCACAGTTCGATGATTATTTCCAGAACCCCGCGATGGTGGAGTACTAGCTGGCCGCACAAGGAGTCTTGATGTGTCAATGACAGATACTGAGCTGAAAGCCGTCCTTGATATCTCAGTGAGCAGGAACCTGTCATCCCAAGAACGACCTCGATCGATCAGCTCAAAGATTTTGGCGTCAACAATGCTGATGGCGCTCATGTCTTTAGCAAGGTAGACATGATGAAGAGCATCAAGGGAGGACCATAATCCGCATTGTTGGTCGAGTTCGGTTCTTAATAGGCTAGCACTAAGTGAATGATCCACATCCACAAGCTTTTCAAAAGCGGACTCTACTAATGCGGGGAAAGGAAGTAATAGTGAAGAATCCTGGGAATAGAGGTCCTCGAATCTCATGGTCTCAATATCTGGTGGCGCATTCAGATAGCGTAGAAATACCATGTTCTTCCCCGCCGTAAAGACTTTCTGGACACCAGCTTCGAGGAACCGAGGGATCCTCTGCTGCCTGTAGCCCGTATCAAGCACAAACCAGTCATGCCAAAGAGTTCGAAGATCCCCGTTCTCATTCTCACGATTGGACCGCACGAAGAAAGTGCTGTCCGAAGCATCAACCTGACCCTTTTCCATCCAGAGTCGGACCGAGCTTGAATATGTCTTGAAACACATAAAGAATAGTTCTGCCAGGCGTTGAGACGTACTTTCGTCGCCAAGGGCTTCCAACATGCATATTAAATCGTATAACGAATCAAGGCAGCACATTGGTTGGTCAGTCGAGTGTTTGCCTAACTTGGTGATCATTTCCGCAAGCAATACTAGCTCGTGAGAGTGTTGACGAACATCAACAAGAAGCTGGATGAGACTGACAGTTGACCCGGCGGAAAGGTATTTGCACTGAACTTGAGATAAGACTCTATTAAATTCAAGAAGACGCTCTTCTACGCCCCGGCAAAATGTTTGCATATATGGGATGGTTTGTGGGAGCTTGGTGAAATCTCGTACATCGTTGAGTTTGGAGCCTATCTCGCTGAAGCACAGCAAAAGCGATGACAGGGCTTCGCTGGATGAATGTGCGAGTGTGTATCTTCGATCCACTCCAAAATCATCGTCCAAGCGTACATAAATGGACGTAGGAAGACCCTGAAGCATAAAAATAGTCTCTCTAGCAAGTTGTGATTCTGTGATAAGTCGTGTGGCTGTTTCTCCTTGGGGCAACGAAGGGTGATTTTCCGCTCTCCAAAATTGAGCTTTTCCTAGAGAGGCAACAAGATTCCCATCCTCTGTTGGAACAAAGACGTCATCTGGTATCGTGTAGCCTTCATCCACCGTCGTGGCGGATTGAGGCCTGCGCTTTGGAAGAGATACATCGCTGGCAACGGATGAAAAGTCGTCATCTGATGAGTCGCCAGCAAAGTCTACCTGTTCCCAAATTTCTTCGTCGCTGAATGCCGTACCTTCTGCATTAAGGTCTGACCAAGAAAGTGTCTCTTTTGCTTCTGGTGCCTTAGCCCCCTCCTCCGGACGTCTGACTGTAGACAGAAGAGCGGGGCGATCTGAGAGCTGCAGAAAGAGACTCAGGATCTCTGGGAGCCAGGAGCGCCGATTGCCCTCCAGCTCCGCCAGGCGGCTGTGAAGGGCTTCGGCAAGTTCATCTCTATTTAAGATTTGAAACTTTTCCTGTAGTCCCTCGAGTTGCTTGGTGACTGCAAATTGGTCGGTGCGCGTATGAGATCCAGTTCGGAGACCCCCTTGTACACGACGCTTCAGACTCTGAGCATGCGCAGACCCCTACATATATATTAGTACACCATGCGTGATGATATAAGAATAATGGAAATTCAATATGATACCTTGTAATTCGGCGGTATCTTAGCGACGGAAGTGATCAAGGCATCAATAAGCGTACTTAAATCAGCGGCGAGAGCCATTTTCAGACATAGGCTCGGGTCTAGAAACGAAGATAAATCACATCAAGATGTCTCTAGACGTCATCAACTGAAGAAGCAGACAGACCCGGATGTTTTGCTTGGGTGGCGCTAGTCCCGATGAGGTAAGATGGCCACTCCCATTACGCGCCTCTCTCCCTCCGAGCATCTCCCCCCTTTAAGCAAATACCACCATCATGGCTATCGCACGACCGATTCGCATGCTGGGTGCAGCATGTATCCTTCTTTGTCTATTTCTTGTCTTCCAATTACACCAGGGCTCCTCTGAAGAAGGGTCTAAGTTGGCTCATGGCATGAAAAAGGATCCTCTTGTAGATCGTGCGTGACCCCAGTTTCTTGCCACACCTTCTATTACAGCCATCGCGCTTTAAGTGCCATACTAACGACTCACATAGCTACCGGAGAACCTGTTGGAAATTTATGGCGAGCCGACGAACACGACTACTCCCCCGATAGCGAACAATCCGCCCGCACTAATGCTGCGCTTATTACCCTCGTCCGCAATGAGGAACTGGGTCAGCTGCTCTCGACAATGACAGATCTAGAGCGAACATGGAACAGCAAGTTCAACTATCCCTACATCTTCTTCAATGATGTGCCCTTCACCGAGGAATTCAAGCAGAAGACTCAGGCAATGACCAAGGCCAAGTGCCAATATGGTACGCATCCCAACCCGGTTAGAACAAGAGGAACCATGTCTAACTTTACATGCAGAACTTGTGCCCAAGGAACACTGGGACGTCCCAGAATGGATCAATATGGACCTCTTCCGCGAGTCAGCAAAGGTGTTAGAGGAACAAGACATCCAGTACAGCTCTAAGATCTCCTACCACCAGATGTGTCGCTGGAACAGTGGTTTGTTCTACAAGCACCCTGCCCTCGCGGGCTACCGCTACTACTGGCGCATCGAGCCCAATGTCAAGTTCTTCTGCGACGTCGACTACGATGTGTTCCGATATATGGAGGACGGCAACAAGACCTACGGCTTCACCATCAACCTCTACGACGCACCACAGAGTATCCCGTCCCTTTGGCCCGAGACTCAGCGATTCCTCGCCGCCAATCCGTCGTACCTCAGCGACAACAATATGTGGGAGTGGATTACGGATGACGTGGCCCGTCCCGAGCACACCAAGGGCGCCAATGGATACTCCACCTGCCACTTCTGGTCCAACTTCGAAATCGGCGATCTTGACTTCTTCCGCGGCGAAAAGTACGAAGCGTACTTCCAGCACCTGGATCGCGCCGGTGGATTCTTCTATGAACGCTGGGGCGATGCTCCCGTTCACTCGCTCGGAATTGGTCTTTTCGCTGATGCCGCCAACGTCCACTGGTAAGTCACATTCCCTTTTCTCATTTAAGAATGCTTACTCACAATTATCTACGCTAGGTTCCGTGATATCGGATACAACCACATCCCGTATCTCAACTGCCCCAATTCTCCCAAATGCTCCGGCTGCAAGGCTGGCCAGTTCTTCCAAGGTGCAGACTTCCTTTCCAAGGAGGATTGCCGACCTACTTACTTCAAGTATGTTGGAACGCACTAATTATCATGATCCCCCGTTTGATCTGTTCTCTCGTCTCTTGTCATTCTGGAGAGTGCCTCACGATTCGATTCCTTGCATCACGCATACCCCTATGACTATATTACTGAATATCAGTGGCTTCGTACCCGGCGTTTAAGCGGACACATACCTGTGTGTATTGATGATTTTGTGTTCCCTTTCCTTTCCTCTCCGTTTTTGGTTTATTCCTTGTCACAAAATACGTTTTGGCCATGTTGCTGTCTCCTAGAGAGGTACGGGGGCCTTGTACTTATATCGATTGCGCGTGGTCATTGTTGGAGGCCCTGTTTGTTTAAGTCTGGTGCTTTTCGGGCTGCTTGTCGCAGTTGTCATTTTGTGTGATATATTCGCTACTTAGGAACAAAACCCGAGATTCAGACCAGTCTGGTTATTTACCATCTTGAAGCAATATCCTCCGTAAAGATAAGTGTAGGAAAGTTGATAATTAAGGAATGAGGATTGAGGATCGAGGATCGAGGACTGACTTGAGTGGTTGATAATACAACAATGCAGGATGACTGAACAAGATGGAATCAAGATAGATTAAGCACCAACCAAGTAAAGGCTCAGAAGACCTTCTTCCAGACAACAGCAGCACTAACAACACAAGAGATCTCTAAAGTATGTATACAGTTTTCTCTTCTACCTGACCTAATCCTCAGCCAGTCAAACAGTGCTGGATAAACAACGTGTGAGGGGGTACTGTTTGTTTAAGAGAAAATTGACGTAAAAGTAGAATTGATGATGAGAATTTACGCCTCCTGGGGGTAGAGCTCCTCCCGGAGAGCGACGCCCAGCTCGACGCGCAGACCCTCGAGGGACTCGAGATATTGCTTGTACTGGTCGGGGTTCTCGACCTTGGCCTTGACACCTGATGACGAAATGGCGTTAGCTTGGGTTCAATGACGAATGCTACTAGTGTTTCAAGATGGTATGTTGTGGAAGCGTACCCTCGAAGACGCGAACAGCGGTAGGGAAGTCGTTAACACGGCGGGCGGCCTTGAGGGCGGCAGTGAGGACCTCAACGGAGGGGACGAGATCGTAAGCGAAGCAGTTGTTCAGGTTGCGCTGTTTGCAAAGACATGCATTAGTCATTTATCGAATTGGTGCGGACGTAGGAGCCGCATGTTGATTGACGGGTGTGGCTGATGCCATGTATGGCGTGGCGACCAATATGCCTCGGGTGAAGTCGAGATAGTCATACCTGGAGCTCGAAAACGTCCTGCACACCATCGAATTCCTTCTCGAATCTGCCATTGAGATACACGGTCAGTATGAGACGTTCGTATCATGTCCAGACGATTGCTGATGTTGGTTCCGGGAAGCGCCTAACATGCAGATGCAGGGCGCTTCTGTCCGACTCCTCCGACCTCAATGGCTTGCGATTGGGGGCGTACCTGGCAGAGAACTCTTCGTAGGTCTCATCCTCGTGGCCGGAGCGGAGCATAGAGGTGGTACCGAAGTTGTGGGCGCGGGCGGCGGCCAGAGTCACCGGGGACTGCATCCGGGACCGGGTCAATTGGGGAGCTCTAAAAAAGCCGGTAGGGCGAACGGCGCGGGTCGCCACGCGGAAGATTGATAGGGACGACATTTTCAGAAGGTGACCACGGTGGACCAGACAAGGACAATGGTGAGGGGAGAAGTGTGGATGGGGACGGGGAAGGGGAGGTGTGAAGTGCCTCTAGGATTTTGCGGGTGGTGTGGTGTTGACGCCTGAGGCAGCACACGGGTGCTGAGTCATCCTCCGATTGGCCCCGTTCCAAGTTGTCTTGATCTCAAATGGTGGTCGCTGATTGGCTGAATAGCTGTCACTTTCGAGATGCGTGTCATTGGCCGAGTCTCAAGGTCATGACAGTCAGGTTTTATTATATAGCATAGCTATTCTTGGATCATTATATTTATATGGATATCCTATATGATCAGCTCAAACATTGAAGAATATTGTAATGTTGAAACACGGAAAATACACTTTTACGGCAAGTAGATGTCTAAGTATATATTTTGGACCCAATTATTGCTCGAAGCAGCAGATTCAAATCACCATTAGAGCAATTAACCTTAATATTAAGATTATCGATTGGAAATCCTCCCATACATTCAAGAAGGCGTATAAAAATCAAAGAATTTGACTAGATACATGAGTATTGGCTTTCGAGCTTATACCTCGGCTGAGAAGAGGTTATTATATAGTAGGCAACATCCCAATATAAGATCTTTCCAACTTTGAATCAGATAGATATACTGTTAGCTTTACCCAAGCAGAGAACCGACAACAGATGAAACAGAGTTTATATTGATCTTTGTACATCCATGGATGTCTTTATTCTCCGGCCATGCTCTATGCTATACTGTGGAGTCGAGACAAGCCGGCATAAACGATCTTTATAATCCTGCCCAGGCCATTGCTAATGGCAAGCCCCAATGGTATGCAGTTGTGATCCAATAATAGGAAATGACTAGACTTTCAATGCAACGCTTCGGGTACGGATCTAGTTAAGGCGGAGACTGGAATCCACCTAATGCCTTAACCATCAAGGGCAAAAGATGGTCGAAGATATGTACATAGTCGTTGATTTGGATAACGCCTCGGCAATTTTGTGTATAACTTGCAAGGGTATTTCTTTGTAATAGATAATGCGCTATTGGCATTTAAGTAGACTAGCATGTGATATTTTCACACCGAGGACAACATTACATTCAGCAACACAGTGCACTACATATTTTATAATCTGGGGATTTGTTAGAATGAGAATAAGATCTACAATATACCTAGGTAGTATATAGATTGAATCTATCAAAGGTTTCACATGTTCGGACAATATACTCCGGTGCGATCGGAACCTGATCTTCCCCTTTTTTTTTATGACACGCTAAACCCTTTTGGGTCCTCAACGGACGCGCCGGACGCAAAAAGTAATTGTGCTTTTATTTCTCCAGCTTTTCCCTCTCTTCTCTCCCCCCTTTCCCACTCTCATTTCTTTAGCTTTCCTTTCCTTTCCTTTCTTTCCTTTCCTTTCCGGCCTTCCTTGTTTTGGTGGTTTATTGCAGCTCCATTACTGCGTCAAAGAAAAGAACAGGTTGCCTTTCAGGGCTATCAATAACTTCGATTCCACATCCATTTGGTTTGAGAGAACAACCCAATCCTGTCACAATGGCGTCCGAAATCCTTAAACATGTGTCGGTCCCAACCCTCGATCAACCCTTTGGTGTGCACTTGTGGCCCCTCTTCGACCAGGCCTACGAGAAGGTCATGGGGTATCCCGCCAGCGAGTTCAACTTCACCGAGGGTGTCACCCCTCTGTCCACCTTGAAGGAGACTACATTGATGCTTGTCACCTACTACATTATCATCTTTGGTGGCCGTGAAGTCATGAAGAAGTTGCCTGCGTTCAAGCTTAACACCTTGTTCATGATTCACAACCTTCTTTTGACCACCGTGAGCGGTATCCTGCTGGCTCTTTTCATCGAGCAGCTGCTCCCCACTCTCTGGAGACACGGAGTCTTCTACACCATCTGTGATCAGCAGGGTGGTTGGACTCGCCCTTTGATCATTCTGTACTACGTAAGTTGCGAAGCGCTTGAACCATTGGAAGGAGAGAAACTCACATAAATCTCGATTAGCTCAACTACATCAACAAATACGTCGAGTTCATTGATACCATCTTCCTGGTCCTCAAGAAGAAGCCATTGACCTTCCTGCACACCTACCACCACGGTGCCACTGCCCTCCTCTGCTACACTCAGCTCATCGGTGTGACTGCGGTGCAGTGGGTGCCTATCACCATCAACCTGCTGGTCCACGTCGTGATGTACTGGTACTACTTCCAGAGCGCCCGCGGCGTTCGCATTTGGTGGAAGAAGTACATCACCATGCTGCAGATCCTCCAGTTCGTCATTGACGTCGGTAAGTCATTTTAGGCCCGAAAACTGCAAATAATGGAATACTGACAGTTTCAAGGCTTCATCTACTTCGCCTCGTACACTTACTTCACCTCCGCATACTTCCCGTGGCTCCCTAACATGGGCAAGTGTGCCGGTGAGGAATTCGCTGCCTTGGCTGGTATCGGCATCATCAGCTCCTACTTGGTCCTGTTCATCTCTTTCTACATTGCCACCTACAACAAGACTGCCAAGACCGGACGTCCCCGCCGCAACACTGGCCAAAAATCGTTGATCGACATGAAGAACTTCGAAATTCCTTCCCCGGCCGGTACCCAGAACGGCAGCGCCAAGTCCACTGGCCGCTCGAACGGCCCGGTGACACGCTCTCGCAAGGCCTAAATAATCTACCGAAGCACAATCGCACATGGATGTTTTCAGCGTGTTATTTGGAAGAATTATACTGCCCCACGAATTTGATTGTGGAATCGTCTTGGGATGAGCCATTGATTCATCCGATGGTTGTGGCCAAACAAAGTTGAAGTGCAGAGTGGCTGCTCTTGGGTGATGCGTCCCTATATTTGTTTAATGAATGACCACCTCATGATGCCCAGGTCCATTACCCGGGCATGGGGTATGTGCCTCGGAGTTGTCGGAATACATACCCCGAACCTTTCGTCGGAAAACCTACCGGGGGAAAGTTGGATTACCCCGGCGGTCTCGTCATGGTTGTATTTTATAATGTTTTTCTTCTTCTGTTCATGTTTGTCGTTATCACCCGTTTGGTGGCAGGCCATTGGATTGTACCATTCGCCCTTATTATTATTAAAATATTCATTGATAGACGTTAGCTCATTATATCAAGATAAATGTAATCATGTCCGTTCTTGAAACCATATTATAGATTGAGAAAGAGACCAGATACCATATGGCTGGTTCGCATCTGGTCAGCAAGGATTGTTTGCTTTCCACCTGGGTCGGCGTTGATTGCGCACGCTGTCAGCACCTTCCGCATGGCCAGGACTCAGGATGCATGGGCTATGCGGAGACAGTCTGTATCTGAAGAGACAATCCAGCCAGATCATTTTTCGAGGCTATCCATCAAGCCTATTGAATTCGCCCCCAAACAATGGGAAGCCAAACAAATAACCTGTTGATATGGCAACCTCAGGCATATATACTGACCTCTGTAGCACAATGTGCAGTATCACACTGGAAAGTGCACAAAAGAAACAGAAACGCAGGAACAGGAACCGCCAGGTGGAGCTTCGATGTGCGCATCATGGCCTGTGCGACGAGGCACAAACAACGCCACGAAAGTGATATATCTCACATGCCCTGGACGTTGACCCAGTGAGAAAGGCGATCATTGTCAAAGAGTTGACGAAACGGGCAGAGCTTCAGCCCCCCCCCCCCAAAAGCCTTTGACCCAGAAGGCGAGGAGTAAGGCAGGTTATATCCAGCCTCCCAGATGAAAAGAGCGGTGCAGCCATCACATCCCCCGACAAGAAGCCCAGCCATTGATATAATGGGGCTGGGCGCAATTCAATAGACCGGACAAGAGATAAAGTCAAAGGCAGGAAAGGATTTGGATTATTTGTTCATTGCCTATTTTTGTCGAAAAGTTACAAGCGCCTTGCTTGGATGTCATGCGCGTGGGTTATTCGGAGACTGGACGGATATGCAGTGCCGGGCTTTGCTGCCGGAGCATAGACGCCAATTCGAAAAAGGAACAGACAAAAAAGAAAAAGGATGGGCTTGCAGTAGTGGCCATGTTGACGTTTATAGTCAAGATCAGCACATGAACTTATGATATCCCTGGTCGGATTTGAAACGGCTTGGATGTGTCAACGGAGCGATAGCGCCGAATCCTTCGAGTGTAGAGACCCACTAAGTACGGAGCATTGGTCAATGTAGGTTAGTTGAAGCAGATGTCAAGAGTTTGACGTGCAGAAAGTGTATGCACAAGTTGGGGAATATTGTGTCCTTACCGGTGGCAGTACTAGTATAGTATTGCTATCACAGATGATATGATATCCATGGATGACAGGTGAGATAGATTAGAAAATCGCCGAGATATAGATGTTAGATGTAAGGAGAATACGGAGCAGAGAGTTTTTTTCTTTTCATCTTTTCCCAGCATCTTGGCTGTTAATCGTCATGATCATTGATCATTCCAGTCCTTCAGGAGTGTGTTCGTGGGTGTAGCCCCTGATTCCTCCCTGAAGAGTAATATACCTCCAACTTCCAACCCCCTCGAGGTTATGGTCCCCAAACCCCTGGCAACTTCGGGAGAACTCTCACAGATGGCCCGAACAATACCGAGTCGACCGTTTGAAGCTAAAGAGAGACGTTCGCAAGTGTGTTTGAGTTATACACGGCCCCACTGATCTCGGACTTGGCAACTTGCTAGACGCTTGATGTGATTCGATCACAACCGTTGTACACTTTAGTTGACTCTCCATTCCGCTCTGTTCCCACTATGAGTTCATTCCAATCTAAACTGTTGAGTACTCCGTATTCCACATGGGGGAATGCTTCCAGGTACAGATGTCTCATTTGTGGATATCCTCTTTGGAGTATACGAAATACGGACTATGCTTTCCTAGATACTTTCCTAGATACTTTCCTAGATACGAAGGACTCTGGTTTTGGCCCTTGGTGCATGATTTCAGGCGCAGATATGCATAAATGTCCAATCATGGACATCGAACACATCGCGGAGTATTAGGTGCATGGGCCTGGGACCAATAACTCATGATCTATCAGATTGGGCTTGACTACTAAATACTAAATACTAATACTAAATACTAAATATATCTTTTCCCCCCCTGTTTCCACTCTTTTTACTCTTTACTCTTTTCATGTATTAATCTATTTATTCAAGGTTTTAATCTAGTCCCATATCCAGTGTAACGTGTTTTTCTCCCCCTGCTGAAACTGGCCCGCCCTATTTTTCTCCATGCAAGGGTGAGACACCAATCACGACCCTCGTCAAAAGTTCACTTACGCGCTTCAACAAATTTAGTACAAACTAGTGACTAGGAAATTCAGGGTGATTGAACCTTTCTATTTTATGCCTTTCTACACGTGTACCATGGAGAATGTCCCTGGATGCCTTTTTCTACTCCGTCCTATATACGCCCCCTGCCCATAGCTCCTTTGGTCCCACTACGGTCCACTTCCTTAAAGAGCCCTTTTGTCACCTGGATTTTTCGGATCTCCTTTGCAGGTTGGTACTGGGATATTCGACAGTTATATCTCCTAGTTTTACCCCATTCTTCGTCGAGGGTACTTTCCTTTCCTTTCCTTTTCTTTTCTTTTTTTTTTTTGTTTTGGTCTTGGATTTCCCTTTCGCTTTGGAACTACTCTTTTGGAACTGTCTACATTTTGTAGCAGTCACTCTTCCGTTCTATCTTCTATCCCCGATTACAATCATATAACTACCGGGAACATGTTTGAACCTACTACCTCACTGAGTCTACACCGCTTGAGCAGGCATAGCCTCCAAGATCGATACGAGTCAGACGAAGAGGTTGTGTCTGAATCTGATACAGGCCCCCAGGATCTACTTTCCTCGCCTGTAGGCTCACGAGCCGAAATCTTTGATTCAGATCTCAGTGCCGATGAGAATTCTCACGCAGACCCTGATTCTGATCGAGAGGAAAATGTTCTGCCTCCACCAACAGTCAAACGGGCCCGGCCCGTCTCTTCCGCTACTATCAAGAGAAACAGCGAGGCGACGTTCGACGCAGATACGTATGTCTTTGATCCGGAGGAGCAAATGGTCCTTGAACTGCCACCCTCGGATTCTCCGCCACAACTGGCATCCAGCACCTTTCTACAGCCATCGGTATACGTCTGGCCAAAACAACCACAGTCAACCTCAAGGTCTCGCTCTAGTTCACCTTCATCGGTCTTTTCCGTAGAGGAAGCAGACATTCAGGTTGCAAAGGAGGTGACCATCACGGAGCCCGGAACTCGTCCCACAGTGGTCTTGATCAACGCTCTGGGGTCACTGCCAAAGACCTCAAAATCCCGCCCCAGCCATTCTCGCTCCCGGGAAAGCAGCCGCAGCCGCAGCCGCTCTGTGCTGGTCAGGGCCGACAGCCGCCGACTTACCATGCAACGCTTGTCAGATCCAGCCAAGTCACAGCGAGCATCCGAGAAAAGGAGCACCATGAAGCAGGCGCCCAAGACAGCTCCAACCTCAACCTCAGCCCCAGCCCCTGCCCTAGAAGAAGATACACAGTTCGCACCCAGTGCGACCATCAACCGAGTCTCCCAAATTTCCCCAGTCCTCTACTTCCCAGCACCACCACGCACCGTCCCAACACAAGGATACCGAGCCCGACCCCAAACCTCAGGTTTCGACAAGGCAATGCCACCACCACTAAGCCTACGTACCCGTCGACCCCCCTCACTGCGTAGCATAAGCAGCAACAGCGTCTCAACCTACACCTCCCGCCCATCCACACCCTTCTCAGCAGAGGACGCCAACCCCCATAATAACGACGCACCACCCTCCCAACTCACCAGGCCTTGCAGCCCGGCCTCAATCTCCTCACCATCATCATACATCTCCTCAAAGCGCGTGCCCTCAACATACAGTGTATCAAATATCCTCACCAGCCGCTCGCCACTGATGATGCGTCGCATGACAAGGAAGCACTCTGCCTCCAGCGTGAATTCATTGAGTAGTTTGCGCTCAGAGGTCGGCGTTAATGGTCCCTCTTCATCGCAGATCTCTGTGGCTACTCAGCCCACTCCGCTTCCTAGTGCTGACTGCCATGTCGTGCGCAAGTCTAGCCGGCGTCGTCATACACGCCACGCTAGTGTTTTGCCCAGTGGGAGGGGATTTATGGGATTGAAGCTGGGGAAGAGATCGCATACTAAGGCTTAGACGGTCTTGACTTTTTTTTTTTTTTTTTTTTTTTTTCTTTTTCGCTTTTTGTTTTCTGGTACTTTAACATATATTGATCTAGTAATGTTTTTATGGGGAATATCTAGTCTGGTTTGGGTTTCTGGGTTTCTTATTCTGGTGTCTTTTGGTGTTTTCTGATTTCTTTCAGCGGATATTTGTTTTTTGTTTTTTGTTTTTGTTTTTGTCTTCCTCACATCTGTTTCTGATCAGCTAATGTATGATGGTCCTTGACTTGGACAGATACAGAATCAGTCGCCGGGATGGTTAATGTCTACTTCGGTGTTTGGCGCATGATATTTGATTTTTGGGAATACTACATGGTTTTCATTCCGGTTATTATGCGATTAGTTTTAAATTACACAGCTACAGAGCTATCGAGACATCAATCTTCCTGAAACCATATAAATGGAGACTCCACGGTCCCCCACTCCTCGGTAAGACACAAGTGATGTGATCCGGGTTTTTCCAGTTCAAGACCTAAGGTCTCTCAATACGATCAATCCCCACAACTCAGCTTGGAACCGATCTTACCGGATCGCAACACGCCCCTTTCAGACTAGCGCTTCAACCTGTTCGTACGAACTCATCCGTCCAGTTCCCACTCCAACCCCCTGTCGATAAACCTTGCAGTATTACCAGCGTATACGAAGCTTAGCAAGGGGTATTCGACGAGTTCTTGGCAACATAGACCCGGCTGGAATTGGGTTGATGGGCTTGATGTAGAATTCGCTGCTTGCTACAGCGATAAAGGTGAATATTGTCCACTTCATCTTGAGTGGGTTTTTACGATATGAACGGCCATGTGAAAATTTCGTGTTTGATCCACTGCCACCCCCCCCGATTGATCTGAGAATCTGAGATTGAGAGGGTGTCCACTTCAGCCCGCTAGGGGGTTGGGGACTCCACTATGAAGATCTTCATTAAATGCCAAGGTTGGCATTTTCTGGCTTGGGAGTCTTTTTTTCTTTTTTTTTTTTTTGAACAAGGATTGAAAGTGCATTAAATAATTCGCCCTACTGGATATGAACAGTAATGTGATAAAAAAATAACAGTGAACAATGCATCTAGCGTGAGCTTGGAATGGAGCAATAAAATAGCCACTTGGGCACAAGATTGGGCATTAAACAAGGAGCAATTCGAACCTAGCATATAGTCATAGAAGGACTATAGGTTCTCGTCGAAGGCCAACTTCCGTGCCTCTAGGGCAGCTTTAATGGCTGTGGGAAGATGAATTAGCATCATTTCATTTTATAGATATCCAAATAACACTTACCATCGCAAGAGGTCTTGGCATCGCCAAATAGCATCCGAGTACCGGGCATAAAGAACATGGGGTTGGGAACATCCGCTGTGGAAACCGTTAGATGAATTCATTTACTGGGAATGACGGAGAAACAAAATCATACCATATCCGCTGGACATCCCCCGCTTCATCACTATAACCTCCTTACTCTTCCATGCATGGAGAACAGGCATGCCGGAGATAGCGGAGTCGGGCTCCAGGGCGATCGGGTTAACGGTATCATTAGCGCCGATGACGAGGGTGACATCTGTGTCTGAGAAGTCCTCGTTGATCTCTTCCATCTCCAAGACGACTGTATCGATTGTTAGCGAATAATCCACAAATATCAACCATAAAGATCTTACTATCATATGGCACGGATGCCTCTGCAAGCAGCACATTGCATTGACCAGGCATTCGGCCGGCAACGGGGTGAATGGCGAAGCGAACATTGACACCACGGGAACGCAACAGCCCGACAATCTCCGAAAGAGCATACTGGGCCTTGGCAACAGCCATACCATAACCAACCACAATGATGACATTCTCAGCGCTGGATAGAGCTTCAACGGTGTCATCGATGCTCGTTTGCTTGATCTCGCCCTCGATCTTCTTCTGAGTTTGCGCCGCCGGAGACGAGATTCCACCGAAGAGGACATTCGTCAGCGACCGGTTCATGTTGACGCACATGATGTACGAGAGAATGGAACCGCTGACACCGATCAGAGATCCGACACTGGTCAGAAGTGGATTGTCGAGCATCAGACCTTCAGCCACAAGAGCGAATCCGGAATAAGCGTTCAACACCGTGATGACGACAGGCATGTCGGCACCGCCGATGGCTGCTGTCGTGGTATACCCCTTTAGGAAACTGAGGACGGTGCTTGTTCCTAGACAGATAGCTGCGATTGCAGGGCTGCCTGGCGCCAGTGTAATAAACGCTCCCATGGTTGCCATGTTACTACCCAATAATGTCGAATTGATAACATGTCGACCGGGCAGAATCGTCGGCTTAGAAGACATGCGCCCTGCCAGCTTCAGGAAAGCGACGATCGAGCCGGTGAAGGTGATACCACCAATCAGAACACCCAAGTACGCTGTGGTCAGGTGCAGAGTTGTGATGTCACCAATATCGGCCAACACACTTCCGGCACTGGTTAGAACGGCAGCCAATCCGACCACTGAGTGGAGAGCAGCGACAGTTTGAGGAAGACCTGTTGGTGTGATGCGACGGCCGATCAAGCCTCCGACCAAGGCACCCGTTCCAGCAACAGCCGTGAACTGTGTTAGCGTCTCAGGAGAGAAGCCCACTGCAGCGAGTGAGGCCAGAATACCGGAGACTACTCCTAGGATACCGAAAATGTTGCCGCGGCGGGCTGTTACTTGGGATGCCAGACTAGAGATTGAGCCCATGCACAGCATTGTGCTGACGAGATATCCAGCTTGGACCAGACCGGACATACCGGTGCTGGCAGCCGCGATGAAGCCACCACCAAACACCACGGCTGGGACAGCGTACAGCCATGGGTACTCGGGAGGGTCGGTTGGACGCTTGAACATGTCCAGCATGCGCTTCGTGACCACAAAGCCGCCGGAGATATTCACGAAAGCCAAAAGCACCGAGGCAGCACCGAAGTATTCTGGGATAGTAGTCGGCACAAAGCCTCCTCCCATGATGAACAGTCCACCAATACCGACCATGCCCGAAATGGCGTTCGTGACGCTCATGAGCGGCGAGTGGAGCGCAGGCGCTACACCCCACACAGCACGATAGCCGACCAGTCCAGCAAGTCCGAAGGTCATCATGTTGCCCATAAAGGCTGGCCCAGCTGCCTTTCCGAGGGCCAGGGTTGTGCCCATTGCACCTGTGACTGCTGTCACATCGCGTGTTGCCTTTTGCCAGGGCGTCAAAGCGACTTCCTCCTTTGGTGCGACAGCTTGCATCTCTGGCTGTGGGGTTGGGGGTGGAGCGGGTGGAGCAGCAGGGGGGATTATCTCACCATATAGAGTCACAATGGAACCGCGCACAACTTCATCTTCAAAGTCAATCCCAAACGACTTCTCCTGGGGAGCCATAGAGAGAAGGTACTTGGTGATATTGTTTGAGTACAGCGTTGAAGACTGGGTAGGGAGACGCGAAGGAAGATCTGTGTAGCCGATGATAGTAACATCTTTGTAGCTGCTCAATTCCCCGGGGATAGTAGCTTCGCAATTTCCACCTGCCTCAGCGGCAAGGTCAACAATAACAGAGCCGGGTTTCATTGCAGCAATCATTGCCTTGGTAATGAGCTTCGGTGCAGGTCTGCCTGGGATCAGGGCCGTGGTGATGATGATATCAACCTCTTTAGCTTGCTCCATGAACAGTTTCATTTCAGCTTCGATAAATTCCTTGGACATTTCTTTGGCGTATCCACCCTGACCAGAACCATCCTCCTGGAAATCAACTTCGACGAATTCGGCGCCTAAAGACTGGACTTGCTCGCGCACAGCAGGACGGGTATCAAAGCCACGAACAATAGCACCCATGCGACGGGCAGAGGCAATCGCGCTCAACCCAGCTACGCCAGCACCAATAACAAGAACTTTACTCGGAGGAATCTTTCCAGCTGCAGTAACCTGACCAGTCAAGAAGCGACCGAAGTGATTAGAAGCCTCCAGCACCGCCTTGTAACCTGCAATATTGGCCATGGAGCTAAGGGCATCGAAGGTCTGCGCACGAGAGATTCGCGGAATGCGATCCATCGCAAAGGAGGTCACGCCACGAGCCGCGAGTGCCTCGACGAGGGGCTTGTTCTGGAGGGGGTAGATGAAAGAGATAACAGTTGAACCTTTGCGTAAAGCCTGGATTTCATTGAATGGTCCCTCCGATTGTGGGCTGCGGACCTTCAACACAATATCACTCTGAGACCAGATTGCGTCCCGGTCGACCACTGTCGCGCCGGCCTTTTCGTAGGCATGGTCCAGTAGCTGAGCGCGTTCGCCTGCGCCGCGTTCGATGAGTACGCGAGAAACCCCCTTCTTCAACAAAAGGGCGACATTCTGCGGGGTAATTGCCACGCGACGTTCACCAGGAAAAATCTCTAGAGGGACTCCAACGGTCAAGGCTGAGTAGGGGGTGGTAGACACGGGCTCGGAGGGAGGTGACTCAGGGGAGGTTGTAGCGGTTCGTTTGGAAATGGAGGGCCATCGCGGCTGGCAAACGGAGAGGCGTTTATTCTGCGACGCGGAATAAGTAACTTGCCGAATTTGAGAGGCTAGATAGAGGGAAATGGTTAGAAAACAGCTCAACTTGAGCATCCGATACCGCAATTTGGAGAAGCTTACCCGACGTCACCGGAAGGAAATATTTCCCCGCGCGAGCAATGGACGCCACAAAATGCGACCGTAGAGCTGACCGCAGGGATACTGGAGCACTCATTGCGAGTAATACTGCAGGCTGCACGTTGTTTCGGAGGTTTTTGTCTCATCTAATGCTTATTGGGCCCAGGAAAGGGGAGCAGGACCGGGGTACCGCATTCAGGCCGGACTGAGAGGCAGAGAGACGCAACGCAAAGAGATTTAGAAAGAGAAGCCCCAAAGAGTATGAGAAGCCACAGTAGAAAGAAAGAAAGAAAGAAAGAAGAGAAAGGAGGGGAAATCGAAGGTAAGTCAAAGCACCGATCTCGGCACAACTTCCAAGCAAAGAGGGGAAGCGGCCGATGTACGATTCCTACCTTGTGATGAAACACCTCGGATATTTGTAATTTGTATAAAATAGTACACTGGTGTCTGTGTACATAGCTTATAGCCTATATTTTGTACTATAGGCAACCTATAGCCTTTTCCAAGGTTCCCCCGCATAATCATAAAACGCGGGGAAGGCATCGAAGATTGATAAGCCCTGGATTCTCCACATTTACACATTTTAGAAACTATCATAGTATGATAATATAGCGATTTGAATTAGCTAGAATATTATATGACCTAAGTCCGAAACCCATCTATTGCAATCTCTAAGGCATTTTATGCCTGGAACCAGGAGCTGGTAGCCAGTTATAATTCCACATTCCTCCACATCATCGACCAGTGCTCGATTCACCATGGTCAGTGGAGCCAACTTCTTCCACAGTCTCAGTAGCACCCTTACTATCAATGAAGTGGGTGATGCGATCGCTAGGAAGCCAGGCACTCTCAGGCATTATGAAGTAGGAGATCAATGCCAAGATGGTGACTCCAGCCATGATAATGGGGGCATCTATCCAGGAAATTAGCAAGAAGAAAACCTATGAGAGAATGAACAACATACAATTCAAGTTCTCGCCGGTGACTGGGAACTCGTAGGGCGAGAACAGGATAGCGACGACCCAGCCATTCCAGAAGACACCAATGAACTGGAACGGCTTACTCCAGCGGCCGAGACTCCACTGGGGTGTCGGGAACCGCTTCGGGGTGCACAAAAGTCGACCCAAACAGATCAAACCGTACGCAGCAGCGCTGGGGACACCGGCTGCCGAGACAAGGGAAGTGAAAGCCGTGGCAGATGGAAGAAGGGTGCAAGTGACCAGGGCGGCGACAGCCCAAACAACAATAACCGCGTTCCGTGGCTGACCATTGTTTACACGAGAAACCCAACCGGAGAAGGGGAGCACACCATCACGGGCGACGGCGAAGACAAGGCGAGAGGCGGCAATGATAGCAATAGCGGTGTTCTGGAAAACCAAGTCAGCTATGAGATATCCAAGCACAGAAACAGGTGATAGCTCACCAGCCATAAAGCGAAAATGCAAATGATGTTCATGAAGATATGGCCGCCCTTGCCCAGAACAACAGCGTAAAGAGGCACAAAGGGTTGGGGTGAGCCGAAGCCCATAAGTGTGTCGGCGTCAGGCTAAAGAAAAACCAGGTCAGAAATCCGAACTTAAGGATTCGCAGAGATCAAAGGAGACAAACCGCGCAGAACAAGAAGAGAATAATCGTAGCCAAACCACCGAACCCACTGGCAACGGTACTCCAGAAGATACCACGAGCAGCAGTGACAGAGGCATTCTTGGTTTCTTCCGCAACGTGACCCGAGGCATCGAATCCAATCAGAATACCAGCGGTAGCAAGATAAGAAAGACACCAGTTCCAGCCAGCGGGGGCTCCGGTACCGTTGTACGTGGTCATAAAGGCCTCGTGGGTGGTACGGAATCCCCATGTTTGAGCGGTGCCAATGGGCAACCAGATAAGGTTCAGGACAAAGTCAAGCATCACGACTGCGGAGGATGCCCAGAAGACATATCTGAAATAGCGAGCTAAAATGCGGTCAGAGGTAGTTGAATCAAAGTTACACGTTTGTACATACGAGGCAAAAAGTTCAACAGGGCGGCCAGGGCAAGCAAGATCTCAGTGCAGATCCACTGGACTGCGCGGAATTTGACACTGCTTGAGTCTGACGGGAAATCGAGGTTGAATACAGTTATTTCCTAAAAGCGACATATCAGTCGAGATCCCGGGAAAATCAAGAAAGAAGAGCACATACCGAAAGCATATAGTTCGCCGCAGCCTGGGTGTTGCCTATAAATCCAATTAGCATTATACAAGCCTCGGGGTTAGATACACAACATACTTGCACAGAAGGTCGTCCAAGCCGTTGTACTCCACCAGGCGACGATAAAGCCAAGGAGTCGGCCAAATCGAGGTCCACCAGCCTCGGCGGCCCACAAGTAGATTGACCCGGCGGATGGAGAAGCCGAACAAACCTCAGCGATGACAGCAGCGGTAATGAAGGTGAACACCATGGTTACTAGGTAACTAGTCCAATAGGCCAGGTTTCCACCGGCGGCAATACCAGTGCTGAAAGTAACACGAACACCGCCGACAAAGTAAAGAGCAGCTAGAATAAAAGTCAGTACGAATGCGCCCCCAAAAATGGTAAACAGCGAAAAAAAAGCTTACCGAATGTGGTCGAGAAATTCTCGAACAAAGTGTACGTTCGATGAAGAACCTGTTTAGTGACTCAGTTGCTGATCACATATCCTCTTAATCTATATAATTCAACCTACCGGCTTATAGCCCATGGTCCGCTAGAATATTACCAGGTTAGTTGATTTGAGATTTACAGAAAAGACTGGATTGCACCACTTACCAGCAAGGCGGCATCATCCTGATTCTTGAGCTCGGCCCGATCAGCTTCACCCTCACCTTGGTTGGTGAGGAGGTCAGCGGAACCAACGACAGGGTCGTGAGAAGCCATAACAGATATATAGAAGAATGAAAGAATGAAAAAATGAAGTTGAAGTTGCAAAGTTAGAAAATTTGATTGACTTTGTTAAGGCTAGTCCCGCGGTCAAAACGTTCCCTAAATGATCCACCGGGACCATTGGGCCCCACAGAATTAAGTGGACGTGATTTGATGTGATTTGATGTGATTTGATGGATATCACTACATAGTATGACTTTTAATAATTTACTTTTATAAGGGTCTTACGATGTTTCTTGATATTTAAGGAGTATTAGGGCTATTAAATTGTCCAAGTGGGTTAAAAATTTCTTAAGTTAAGTTTCGGAAAAGGCCCCCAAAATATAAGCTCGGAGTGCGCTCGGAGCTGTCTGATCCGTGGATTTTACTTCTAAGGTGGTTTATTGGTTTCTTATATAAATATGCACTCCGGGCCTTGAATATTTGAAAGAGATAGATGGGATAAAGAATAGAGTAGTTCTTGTTATAATCTCCTTACACAATTTGCTTCTGTTACACGGACTAGAAGTCCAATGTCGCTTATCTCGATATTTGTTAGCTCATTCCAGATGCTCCACCCCTGGGAGGCCAAGACCACTAGCTTGTTCTGCGAGATGACTATACATCATATTGGCATCATAATTCTACTTTCTCTTTCGGTCCTTTAGGTAGCTATGTAGAAACAAACCCATTACCCTATGCTATTTCCCCTTCAACCCAGGGATCATAGTTATTTACCTGGTTCTACATCCAGTATAGTCTAACTAGCTGGGGCACATATTACGGCCATTTGTACCTTTTGTTACAGTAAATCTTTTAATATTATTGAAGGGCCCAGCCGCAGTGAGTCATTTTACGCGACAACCTAGGCTGCACACAACTTTGACTCACTCCGTGATAATTCGGTCACGTACGGACTGGTCTATTACATTTGCTAGTAACTAGAAGTAGTCCAATATACAGAATGCTATAAAATGGCTTCAAACCAGGTGCTAACTCGAGGTACATAAATCTATTCTCTCTCTGCTAGCGCGCCTATGGATATTGAAACCAAGTTGAAATATCTCCAATGGCAAACCAGTTACGCTCATACTAGGCCATATCGAAACGCCCAATTCGGTCGCAAAAGGAAGAACATTGACCAAATGAAGCCGCACAATCTAGTTTTCCAGGAAGGGGACGCTGTCGAGACCATTAGAGATATCAGAGGAGTAACAGAAGCAGAAGGAAACCATAGTTTCACCCTTGAGATTAATGGCTTTGTGTATTCGAGGTATCCACCGCCTTTATTCACAAACCCAAAGGACTTTGGCGATCCAGACCATATTCAAAATATCTTCTTGCCTGAATGTGAGGCGATCTTGAGAAACGAGATTGAGGGAGTCGACCGGGTCTTTATTTTCGATTGGAAAGTAAGTATCTGAAGGACGTTAGAAATCGAGGTTTGATCTATTGAGACTTACCTTTTACCTTTTCCGTGTAATAGATAAGGAAGAAGAAAAGCGCGAAAGAGCAGCGAAAGAGGAACGATAATCTATTGAGCTTTGCGCGACAAGTGCATATAGGTAAGTCGAACCGAATATCTAATTGCACGAGACCAATTCACCATATCTCAATACTAAAAACCCCCAAGACACTTTACTCACCAAAGACGAGCCTGGAACCTCTATGATAGAGCGTATTCGTAATCATCTCCCCGAAGAAGCCCACCACCTTCTCTCCGGTCGAGTACAAATGATAAAGTAAGTGAAGAATGGAGAGTGTAACTCCAACCCCCTCCCCCTCAACAACCATTAAAGCATAACGCTCTACATATGTGCTTTTAATAGCTTCATTCATCTTCTCTGACATGAGAAATTCAGCATGTGGCGGCCAATTAATGGACCTGTCGAAGATCAACCTCTTGCTGTGTGTGATGGGAGAACTGTCGACAAAACTAAATTGGTCGAAACGGATATGACCCGCGGTGACTATACAGGCACGATGCTTTATCCACTTTATAAGCCAGGGAATATTCGCCAATGGTACTATTTAAGCAGACAAGCCGTCGAAGATGTACTGCTGTTTAAGAGTTTTGACTCGAAAACGGGTAGTGTGGAACGTGAGTGATATTCCAACCCTGAATGCCCATGTTTCATCCCACAATTCTTTGAAGATGCGAAGACGGGAAATAAGAGCAAGATGATCCTAACAATGCATATCTTGTATTATAGATACCCCTCACACATCATTCACACTACCTGATGCCCGGGATGATGTATGCCCAAGGATCAGTGTTGAGGTCAGGGCTTTAGTGTTTACGCGTTCGGCGAGAAGTACTTAGTAGTTACTTTGCCCTTTACACGTTGTTGATCCCAGATAATGACTACAATCCCCTGATATAGCCATGCAATATAGCTATAGCAGGGGCAGAGGAGACAGGAACAACAAGAGACAATAACAAGAGACAACAATGGAATGGAACCATCAAAAGGAACCTTAGAGGGAAAAAAGCGTCCCCAGAAAATTCTTTGGACAACAGCGAGCTATCTCTGTGAAAAGGTCCCAAAAATTTGGTTGGAGATGAGAACAGAGCCCCGGAAGGTCCATGTGGATAAGCCCCAGGAAGGACAGTCAGTATCCGCAGAGGTTAGTAGGAGTGTCCGAGCCCCGTTACCTCTACTGACGTGCATTGTACCACAGCCTACCCTGAGACCCCACAGAGACCAACAGGTCCAAAAAAATTGGAGGTACTCAACAGGAACCACGATGTGCAATATGGACCCGGAGTGGAATGATGAAGAAAGAAGGAAGAAGAGAGAGAAAAGGGGAGGGGGCTGTATTTATATCTTCCCAGTGGCTTAAGGCAAACGGGGAACTGGGGCGACGAGTTTGACCTAAAAGGGAAGGCACCTGATCAGGGACAAGCAGCACGCGCGAAGCATCTATGGATCATACCCCACTGTTTGCCGCTCTCAAATCTCTCATTCACGTCAGCTTCACCTTCAGGTGCCACATTACGAGCTACACCCTGCCCTGGGACTTTTATGTCGGATGCCCAAGGAATTTCAACGTGATTAATGCCACGGGCCAAGTAGAGGTTACCTACGTATCGAGATGTTGTTGATAATTATATTATCATTTGCCTGCTATATTATATGTTGCTTCATATACATGGCGCGATGCAGGAAGGCTATCAGACCAAGTCCGTAGCTATGAAAGAATCAAGTTTAAGTAATGGGGTATCAAAGAAAAAGCAAGGCAAGATATGACAATGATGTCGTGAGGGTGATATCGTGAGGGGATCAGCGTTGTATAGAGAGGGGGGAGAATAAACGGCGAAAGAGGGTGGGGGTCGGAGTATACTTCGGCGGTTATTTAAGAGCGCCTCAGTGAGTTGACGACCTCTCCTCCATAAGGGGAGTCGTCAATGCACAAGACAAGTCACCCGCATCGTCCCGATAAATGAAGCGAGACAGATTGGAGATATCGACTCCAGCCAGCTTCACATCAGGGAAGGAGGATATTCGTCTGAACTTCCTCCAAGGTCTGGATCCAACCCTCAGGAAAGGTGCGTCGCTTGAACCAGACCCCCTCCAGGATCTCGAGTGCTTTATCGACGTTCTAAATTGTGAGACATTAGCATCCGGACTAACCTCTTGATGAAGTTTGTTTGTAACATACCCTGAAACCAAACCGCTTCAATTTTTCCATGGTTTGGCGAATGTATTTTTGCTCAGATTCATTCCGAGTCTCCTGCCCGGCAATGAAAAGCGGCCACAGGAAAGCCAATTGACCGACATCCTTTGGCAATTTGTACGCCAGCAGAAGAATCCGACTGACAAGCATGTCCATATATGTCCAATCATTGATCCAACCGACACGCCCAGCCCCAGCAACCTGAAGCAGATGAACGAATGTCGCTTTCTCGTATGCTTCAATGCAACCCGCATACTCAAGCACGTCAGGATACGGATACTGAGCAAGGCTCTCATCGTCCAGATCGGCGAGAAGCTGCAGACAGGGCGGGGTCATGGCACGCCATACAACCAGCTGGTTGAAGATGTCTTTGTACATTTCGTCTGACTGGTCGGTTGTCATCCACGTTTTCTTATCCGATGCAAATGTGCTGATAGATGCTTGCACTTCCATCAGATTTGACCATGCCTCCCGTAGCTCGCTCAGACGTGGGTTGTCGGGGATCGTCGATAACAAGCTTGGCGTCCCGAGATTGTATTCCCATCCTCCACCCATGGTCTTCCAGTAATTACCTTCGACCACGGTACCGCCGGGAGTTGCGCATGCACCTGCCACATCGAGATACGAGAGTAGGGAGACGAGGAATGGGCGGAGCGGGTGGTTCGTCTCGGCGACGCGTTGTACTTCATGTGCCAAGTCTCCGGGTTGCGGGTAGAAGAGGAGGTTGTAGATTTCGCGAGCTCCTTTGAGATGTACTGCCCAGTTGTGGTGTTGGGAATCCATCATCTGTAGGAATGTTAGTTGACTGGCCATGACTGGCAGGTCTTAAGGCAAGTGGGAAACAGACCTCGAATAAAGAAAGTAATAGGCACGTCGCAAAATCCGTTAGCCCAAGCTGCTGGCTGGGATCTGAGTATCGTGCGCGGAAGCCCTTCACCACCACACCGTATTTGCCCATTGCCTGTTGGAGATGCCTATTCCGCTGCGACCCCACCGATGTATTTGCGAGATGTAATGCGCCCAATGCCTGCATTGCGTCGACCATTGTTGGCGACGAGCGAGCGAAATCCGGGAAATGTGTGCGGTAGGGATTGGCATTGTGGGGGGCGTTGTAGATGATCAGGAAGGTTGATACCTGATCAGCAAAGTATGTGAGATAACGTTCTTCGGCGCGCTGGATCGATTTCGCGATACTGATCGAGGTAACGGGATCCTGGAAGCGGAACTTGGTTGTTGGTTGTGGCAGCGTTGCGGGGGCGATCATCGCCTTGCGGGTTTGTTTGGTGTCAACATCTTCCTTCTCCTCCGAAGGGGAGACCACAGAAGCGTCGCTTGACTCTGGGCTGGATGTTGAATTGTACTTCTGTCTCTTCGGTGCCCTGGACGACTCTGGCGATGAATCCGTCGGTGTTTGAGAGAGTCCGTAAACTTTGAAGGTCATCCGCCCTTGCGCGCCATCGCACTCGCGTCCAAGACGGACACAGTTATTGCAAGCGGGAGATGTCTCGTCGCAGCGAACATGACGGCGGCGACAGGTGGAACAGCCTGTAAATCCTCGGTGGTGCCAGCGGCGGACTCGTTTTAGGGGTTCGGTGGGTTGTGTATCTGCCGTGTCGGACAACGGTGCACCCTCCGTGCGTATCTCCATCGGGCGCGTAACTCGGAGATAAAATATCGTTCAGACATGGAAACTTGGTATGAAGGCTAATCGTCATTAATCATGGTGGATGTTACCAAGATAATCCAAGGCTCTCTGGATTTGGAAGGGCGCTAACGGCAAAACGCATCTCCTGGCCAATGGTTTCTCGTTTGTATATTTAAAAATATCTACCAAAACTAAACCCTCTTATGTCCCTGCATATCGGGGTACTAGCGCTTAAACAGCCTTTGGCTCGACTTTAGCGTCAAGGCTATGCATAAGAGCTGAAGGTAATGCTCTTCAAGTTGACTGTTCTTAATGCTGCACAAAGTGGGAACCGGGAGACTCGAAGGATTCGTCTAGTTCTAATTTAACCCAACACATAGCGTAACTAATTTCCTTATTGGGAGCTAAAACCCCCAACGTTGTGGCCATTTGTGTATCTTCACTACTGATTATAGGCATCGAACTACAAAGATCAGTTTCAAATCTAATTGAGAATACAAGCTCACTTACAATGCACTGTTCAAAAGGCACGCTGGAATTCAGAATAGCGCCCATGGCCGCCCGGGCAATCGTCACCGGCACTCCAATATGTACTGCCTGCTGCTCTGCCTGTTTGAGGACGGCCTCATTGCGCGAGGGAACGTTCACAGAAGCCCGGGTGGATTTGAAACGAGTTGCCTCGCGGACGTATGCGGCTCTATATGAGTGAAGGTGTTAATGTCAATGTCAGAAGTAAAGATCATAGGATTCTTTGATCTATGGAGGTCAGAGTACAAACCGCCGATTAAGGAGATCGAGTATTTGATCGTCGATATCATCGAGTGCGGTGCGGATCTCGTCCAGAGAGTCACAGCATGTAGTTAGCGTGCCATTTAGGGACGAAAAATGGACACTTGGGGTACCCCATGGCACGAGGCGATGGTCTACTGAAGGTGCTGAGATCAAATTGGAACCATAGCAAGCATTTGTGTTGGCATTGGCATTGGCTGAACCAATAGCCGAAAGAATTAGGAATCCAAAGAGAACATGAAAAACCATGATAATAAGTCAAGATAAATAGAAGTAAAAAAAGAAATTTGAAAGGAATAATACATAATACATCATGATCCACCCCCCTTGCTTTTTCCTCGTTGATAGCCTACCCTAACGGGTTAGGCTGTCGAATACGATATTTCCCCTCCAAAATGATATACTTGGGCACTTAATGCGGGGAACGGATTTCACTCCGAGCTACCGAAACCCCTCTTCGGCTACTTAGAACTTGTTTATAACGGATTCCCTTTTCTATCGTGACTTTTACTCTCATCTTACTGAACTTCGTGAAGATGTCCCAAGGCTCAAGACTGCAAGGCAAAGTAGCCATCGTCACCGGTAAGATTGTTTATATTACACCATTCCGTTGTGGATGCTAATACCTCTCCTTGTAGGAGGAGGCAATGGATTTGGTGCAGCTATCGCTCGCCGATTTGGCGAAGAGGGGGCCAAAGTAATCGTTACTGATGTCAACGTTGATGGCGGCGAGAAAGTCGCCGCGCAGAATCCTTCCAACCTCATCTTTCAGCGCCAAGATGTCACACAAGAAGCAGACTGGAATGCAGTGTTGGACCTGGCATTCTCCAAGTTTGGGCGAGTGGATGTGCTAGTGAATAATGCGGGCACTAGCTATCGCAACAAGGTGGGTTGAAATGTAGTATATGATGAGACTTCGCTAATCCCCTTATTTCAGCCGACAGCAGAGGTCACAGAAGAAGAGTGGGAGCGTGTGTTCAAGGTCAACGTGAAGAGCGTTTATCTCGCTACAAATGCCCTGATGCCGCGTCTCATCGAGCAAGGCCAGGGCGGATCGGTGATCAACATTTCCTCTACGGGAGCGAGTCGACCACGGCCTGGGTTGGTTTGGTATAATGCCACTAAGGGGGCAGTCACTAATGTGAGTGAATGTTCGGGCGGTGAATGAATAATGAATTGCTAACAATCCATCAATATAGGCCACTAAAGGTCTCGCCGCGGAGTATGGTCCCCACAATATCCGATTCAACACTGTCGCTCCTCTCCTTTCTGGTACTGGACTCTTTTCCACGTTCACTGGTATGGAAGATACCCCGGAAAACCGAGCGAAATTTATTGGAAATGTACCACTAGGTCGGCTCACCGACGTGGATGATATCGCCAACATGTGCCTGTACCTGGCCAGTGATGAGGCTCGTTTTATCAACGGTACTGAGATGGTGGTGGATGGTGGAAAGTGTGTTTAGATATTGGAGACAGGCCAGACAAATCAATGTCAACTTACCTGATTTACCTGATTTACCCCGCGGAAACTTGAGGCAGAAGTATATAAAAGTGAATTGTTATGTTCACACCATGGTTCTCTCTGCCGACATAACTTAAGTCGCTAAACCCCATTGATTTGCCACTAACTGGACCTAAAAATGACATCCAACTTCAAATCCATCCCGGCGATCGACCTATCCCTCGCCAAGTCACCCTTAAACTTTTAACCCGGCCGAAGCTTCTTCAAGAACGCCACGCCATTACCTGTATTGGGTTCCTGTATATCACGAATCATGACGTTCCAAAAGATGTAATATCAGATCTGAAGCACGCTCTCCCTAAACTCTTTACCCTCGATCCGGCCGGAAAAGACAAAGTGGCTTTACAAAGCTACCCCCATTTTCTGGGATACAGCGAAGTAGGCTCAAGGACAATAGCCGGAGTTACAGATAAACGCGAACAGTTCAGGCTCGCAACCGAGCTACCAGACTTATGGCGCCTGGGCCTTCCTCTTTATGAAAGGCTAAAAGGACTAAACCAGGTACAGCAACTCCTTGTGTCACTTAGCTCATCATTCATCTGGCTCAAAGGCTATGCTGATAACAGTGAAAACTTTTTGTCACAAAACCCGTCTCTTGGACACCTGAATATCTGGGTGCCTTCCCTTTTGGGTGACGGACAACTCGTCACCCGTTTCCCGTTTACCTTACGCTATTGAGAAAATACAAATACCCCTCCTCCCCCGTTTCTCTCTCTTCTTTCTTCCTTCTCTATCCCTTTCCATCTTCCTTCACCCCTCCCTCCCTTTCCCCCTCCCTCCCTTTCCCCCTCCATCCTCCCCCCGTCTCCAGGCCCACATTGCACTCCGTGGTTCTGTTGTCCGAAGGGTATCCTGAGGGCACTGGTGATCTTTGCTGCGGCCCAGTTAAGGCTGAAACTGGGTTGGGGCTCCGGTCCTAACTCTGGCACGAAGCATGTGTGGTGGGTGGTTTGAAACAGCCCCCCGGGAACCCTCAGGGACCTCCTTGGGGACTTTATCGGGCCCTCTTACCTCACCTCTGTGGATACAGACTGTACTTTTCTGGGGTCTCCATCGACATTGGGAGCTGAACCCCATGACCCCCTCCCCTACCCTTCCCCTACCCAGCTGCACGGGTCCTGTGTGCGGCACCTGAACAAGACTTGCACCTTTACGCGGTGTTCAGGACGAGTAGCCTGTATGGTGAAACAAAGCAAGTCCTCATTATCTAGAACTAAAATAGAATTTGATATTGATGTATTCATGAATTAACAAAGCCCAGCGAGGAATTCTTGCGCTTGGTCACCGAAGCACTCTCCCTAGACCCCGAGACTATATCCCCATAAGGCATCGTCTCAAGCTAGTCCATTATCACGTCTCAGATTCTAGTTCAGACTCCAACATCCAAGGCGTGGACACTCACAAATATTCTTCTGGGTGGTGGTCATTTATTTTCCGAGTATCCCTTCCAACTGTGAAGAGCTTACAGGCTTTGAATAAGACAAGTGAATGGACCCACGTTCATGTAATTGAAAAGTGGATATTGGACAGGCTTCTGAGGTGGTTACTTATGGTGTATGTAGGGCAGTGTGTTGTCAGGTCTGTCGGAGAGGTATAGTGTGCCATGTTTTCAGGGTGCTTGGGGGAGTCTGACGGAGGAGGAGGAGGAGGAGGAGGAGGAGGAGGAGGAGGAGGAGGAGGAGGAGGAGGAGGAGGAGGAGGAGGAGGAGGAGGAGGAGGAGGAGGAGGAGGTGGTGGTGGTTGGCACTCTAAAGATTTATTTTGCAACATAAAAGATGTCACTGGGGGCGTCGGAGGGTGCAAATATTGACTCGACCTTTTTGAGAGACGGGTATGGACAAAGATTCGGAGTCATCATGATGTAGGGCGGATGTTTTATAGAGATGTGTTTTATGATTATGTCAATGACGATAATTGAAACCAAGGATTGAATGAGGTAGTCGATTTTATCGCGGAAGAGTGTACCAAGCTAGTGAACGGAGCTCGAGGGTTGCGGAGGGTTCAATATATATATATATATATATTGTCAGAGAGAAGAAGAACGATCATGAGTAAAATAGCAGAAGGGAAAGCTTGAAGATTTGGCAGTTATCAGAGTATAAATTATGCGAGTTTAAACCCTCCTAACTTTTTATTCTTCCTTCTAATGTTGTACTTGAAAGCTCTTGTCTTATTATTTGATGACGATTCGGGCCTCTCCTACACATATTTGCACCGAAGGGGGGAAAAAAAACCAAAAAAAACCAAAAAAACCAAAAACGTTAGAAAAGGCCATATCCTGTAAACGGAAAAAAAGAAAATCCCGCAGAGCCCCTCCATAGAACTGGTCATCCGATGTACATGGACACATCCATTCATGGATGGAGATGCTGCAGGGTTCCTTCCAATCTTGGAAGGTTGTTTGGACGAATCCACTGTGTGGGGTTACTACATGGACCTGGTATAAGTCCCATCTGTGCATGTACAATGTGCGATGTACAAAGTACTACCCCTGCCCGTGCCCCTGTACGAACTATATAGTATGCAGGTACATCTACGAGTAGGCGGCAAATGTCCAGATCTACATCTCGAAATCCCAGATGGAGTAGCTCCATATGTCTACAATATATCCATGTAACAGGAAACGCATATATCTCCAAGCGAGTAGTCCAAAACTAGCAAGTCCCTGCATATCACTGGTTTCAGTTCTCGCTACACATCTAAGCGAATCTTGGCATGCTATTTGATCTCCGCACGGCATCTGTCTAGTACAGTGTACCCACAATCTAAATGCCGATGCCGAGCGGTTTTATATGACCTCTAGCGCGATCTAGTCTCATTTAGATTAACTATCTAAATTAAATAGAAGTTTTATTGAGTGATGAACCTTGTAATACCCCATAATGACCTGTATCAGCTTAGAATTGAAATCGTTTTCTTTCAGATGCGTCCATGGCACAGAAATTTACCAATGTTCTTAACGATCGTAGTGTAGAGTTGGTCCTCGGTCTGCAAACAGATGCAGATTTGAAATGCTCTGACGTTGTGGCCAAATTCATTATGGGCTCTATATGGGTCACTGGGAAAGGCGCCCCCAATATATAAAATTGCCACTCAAACATAATATAGACATACGTACATCGATGTTAGATGTGCATGTAGTACCCCACGAAGGGGGGTCATCGAAACGAGCAAAAGAAGTTTGCAGATCATCATTTGAAATAGTCGCTTCAGTGTTTCGTCTATATCAATTCTTAAAGTGCAACATACTCCGTAAATACGATGAGTCCATATAAAGGACCTCGAACAACCCGAATGAAGATGGTATTATTCCACACAATCAATCCTCTCAAACCACCAACATGAAGTTCTCCCGATCCCTCCTTTTCGCCCTCCCGTTCCTCCAATCCGCCGCAGCCCAGGGCGGCGGTATGGTCGGCCTCGGATGGTCCGTCGAAAACGTCACTGATGCAGGCTTGAGTGAGATCTTCTTCCCAATGGACATCTCCGGCGCACCCCACGAGGGCGGCTTCTACTTCGCGCAGCAATTCGGCTTCGTCAACCAAGACAACGTGGGGTATACCGGTCTGCAGCCCCGTGAAAATGACCACGGCCTTCCCGTCATCCACGGAGTCTTCTCCAGCTTCAATGAGGGCACCACCTCCGACGATCCCAACTGCTCCGACGGTGCCGACGGCGGTGCTGGCGTGAGCTGTGCGGTTGAGATCGTCAGCTCTTACGATCATCAATATCAGCTTCATATCAAGAACACCGAGGGAACCAAGTGGGTTGGAACTCTGGTTGATGTTGTTAAGGGAAATAGCACTCAGATCGGCTCTTACACTCTACCTGCTGGTTCGAAAGGTATTCAGAGCTCCCAGTTGGGCTTTGTTGAATTGTACGGATGGAACGATGATAAAAAGGAGCATGTGTGCTCCGATGTTCCCAAGCAGTCGGTTATTTTCGGCGTTCCCATCTCTAAGGGCTACACTGGATCTCTGAGTGAGCCTTATGAGTACGGTGACTGTGTTGGTAAATCTCAATTCGAGTCACACAGCCACTCTGATGGCAGTTATTCCGTCACTGTTGGATGGTAAATGGAGGGACATGTGAGGCAGTGATCTCGAATGTCTGTGGCTGATTCGTCAGGCATGAATTAAACTTGTACAAGCCCTCAAAGCCCCAACTCGCAATGGATTCTTTATGAAGGAGATCCAGAGTTCATTTCTTTCGTTGGATAAAACTAGGGAACAATGTCTATAGATCCCGGGTTAACTACACATACGGGATGATAGACGGATTTAATTCAGACAACCTCTTTACTATGTATTCTATCTGGCTGTTTAGCTTTGGAAGATAACTAGTAGGATTGTTTTCTCGGATTTATTTACAAAACCTCTTATAATCTATAGTCTAAAACCGCCGAACCTCAACAGCAGGCTTATTCCCAACAGCAACCTCAATCTTTTCAATAACCTCATCCGTCAACTTCTCCACCACTTTCAAAGCCCGAATATTATCAAGCACCTGCTGCGGCCTCGACGCACCCGTAATCATAGACGAGATATTAGGATTCTTCAAAATCCACGCAAGCGCCAACTGCGCCGTCGTAACCCCAAGATCCTCAGCAACAGGCTTCAACGCCGCAACCTGACCCAACTGCCGCTGCCAGGTCTCATCCCCAACCGTCTTGCGCAACCCCTTCACATATCCATCCTCGGACTCCGCCAACCGCGACCCAGCCGGAGGCGCAGAAACATCATTATACTTGCCCGTCAAGACACCGCCCTTCAACGGCGAGAACACCGTCAGACCGAGCCCGTGCGCCTCGTATAGCCAGCGGTACTCCTTCTCCACACGCTCGCGCGCAAGGAGGTTATACTGCGGCTGCTCGACGACAGGTCCGACGAGACCGAGTCTGTCGGCGATGCGCCAGGCGTCTGCGATCTCGCTCGCGGTCCACTCCGACGTGCCCCAGTAGAAGGCTTTGCCGTTATCGATGAGGTAGTTGAAGCCCCGGACGACCTCTTCCATGGGTGTATCGCGGTCTGCGCGGTGTGCATACACGATATCTACGTATGGCAGGCCTAGTCGTTGCAGGGAAAGGTTCATGCCCTCGATGATGTGCTTGCGGGACAGACCGTTGTTGTTGAGGGGTTTGTCGGGGTTGGCGCTGTTGGCCCGGCCCCAGTAGATCTGAAAGATGGGTTAGCGGGGATAAGAAATCGGATGGGGAATTGTGCTTGTTAGGTACCTTGGTGGAAATGACGAGGTCGTTTTGCTTCCAGCCGAATTTCTTGATTGCCTCTCCGAGAACAATCTCGGATTGTCCGCCGGAGTATACTTCGGCGGTATCGAAGAAGTTGACGCCGGCATCGTAGGCCACCTTCATGCATTCAAGGGCGGTTTCTGTTGTCTGTCAGATTCGATCAATTCTATTGATAGAGATGGGCATACCATTCCCGACGTGTCCGCCATATGTGAGCCAGCTACCCAGCGAGATGACTGAGACTTTCAATCCGGTCCTACCGAGGAACCGGTACTGCATTTCAGGAAGAGCGTCAGACATCGTGAGTTTTGTTTAAAACTAAGATAAATTTGAGGAAGTAAATTTCAAGGGCAACTTCAAATATTTATATACACGGGCCGATGCGGGGTTGAAAGACGATAATTCCCCGATTGGGACGCCGAAGGCGTGCTATCTTGCGGAAAACCGGGGCACTGACCGGTTTAGGCTAATGATATTTGTAAACATCTCGAGTTTACGTTTGACGAAGAATTGTGGTGCGATATGTGGTGACAATGACCTCAGTACAATTGAATTGTGTTTACTACAAATTCCTTATTTCTCTGAATACCCCCACTTTCAATATATCAACTCGCATCCAGTTGGATTAGCACCAGGCCAGTCAGGATAGACAGGAGTCTGCCCCGCGTCGGCACATTGACAAATTTCGGTTTGTAGAGGTATATCCGAGCAAACACCAACTGGCTGGGAGGCACAGTACTCATTGATCGAGACAGAGGTGGTCATACCCCGCGGACAGGAGCTGTGCGGCATACAGAAGGTGTCGTAGTTTGACGAGCCTGGTAGTAGGGTCATGCTGTACCATTGGTATACAGGACAGGAGCAAGAGACAGCTATAAGAAGAAAGGTCATTCATATTGGCCTCGGTGCTCAACTTTTGCGCCATAAAATAAGGTATTGGAACGAAAGTGTAGAAACAAGCAAGAAACTCACCCCTAATGACAGTTGATTCTCCTCCCGCCAAGGTACCCTCATATATAGTCGACGTCGAATACGGAACAGCCCCATTCGAGCACTCGGTGGTAATCCAGGGTTCGCTGAGCGGGAAACAGCTCGATTCTTCCATACAATGATCAGGATGCCAAACGGATGGGAAGAAGCCCTGTGAGCACTCGATTGGAGGCTCCTGGCTGAAGCAGTACGAAACTGGGGTTCCCAATGTGCAGTCTGTCGTGTAGACAGCAATTTGTCCATTCGAGCACCAGAGCTCGGGGCCTTGGGTGATAACTGCTGGAGCTGCAGCTATAGTGATCGAGGCGGTCTGTTGGGGAATAGCCATTGTGGCTGAGATAAAGAACGCGAAAAAGAGATAGACTGGGTGGAGGGGTTCCATTATGATAGTCTCAAAGTTCACCAGACAGGCATAGAAGAACTAGATACAAGAATTGTGATAGGGCGATGTACTGGTTGCTGTCGCTGAGCCAGAAATGAATTTCGCTTCAGAGCCTAGAGCCGGACCTTGTTTTATATTAACGTGGACCCAACAGGACAGCCCAATTTGGGCTCTTCTCGAGATTCTGGGCTCACTCAGCCTGGCAAAGCAACCATGGTAAAGTCACAGTGGCTGATAGACTTTTGCTTGCGCATCAGAGACAGTGAAGTGCAGCTCATACTACCTCGCCACTGCATGCAACCCTTTGATAGGTAGCAATAATTGGACTGAGAACACTATTTCCAAATGTCTAAGAAGCTTAGCTGGGCATAAGCTTGTAAAAATAGTAGCCCGCCCCTCGTTAACAAGGCAAGGTATCCTCATTCGGGAAGTCCATGCCACAGAAAACGGTTTCGTGGTAACGGGGTCAGTGGCTACAGATGTCACTTTACTGGCCGAGTAAAACAGGGCCTTGAACTCACAACATTGGAGAGAGAAGTGGTTTCCCATGTTGCGCAATTTAAATGTGCCACACGGACAGCTGGCTCGGGGGAGATATACTGACTAACGCAAGACATTTGGGATCGTTGCAACGCTGAGTTGACATATCCGTGGTTGAAGGGGCTAGATGGTTCTCAGTGGTACTGAGAATTGTAAATGTCCTCGTACATTGTCACCTTCTAGACCATTTTTGTTGTTCTGTCTTGGAATTGATGGTCTCGCCGCTGTTGTCGAGCCTCGCTATGTCCCACAGGATTGTCGCACAGAATATGTACAGCATGGCCGTTGCCTACTGGACGAGGTAGGCTGATCTTTGCTTTGTATGGAGATGCTGAGACATCTGTTGAGAGGTCGAATTGAAATGAAACATTGGAGAACGGTTTAATATGCGAGTGGAGTTCGACTGAGACCTATGTTGCACAGTACATTGCTGAGGGAGATAACCAAAGTGGCGGACAGGGATGGAATGCGGGCAACTAGTAGAGCTTGAATGTCTTACATAGACCGGTTATCATCGACCAATGCGGTTGAATTGTGTGTCAGCCAGGACTATTTAATCATCACGAGAACGACCGTATGGTCAATGTACACCCTCTCCGACTGACTGGAGGATGTCCAACAATCAGATTAAAATAAATGTACATGAATCAAAGTTCCCAGGGTACAATCCAGCAAGTTCAATGCCTAACTTGATGTAGAAGCATGGGGTATATCCTCTCGGTCAAGGTGACAGAAAGGAGAACGACGCGCTGCGTACTTCGCGCATTGGGCTCCTAACGCCCACAACGGAGGTTCTTAAGCTTAGTTGTGTGCGTGACCGTGGCGGTGGTGAAGATGTTTGCGGGCATGGCCAGCAGCCTGCTCCGGCTCCACAGGCTCCGGGATGGTATCCTTCTTCACATAGGAAACAGCGGTAGAGGTTTCCATAATGGTGGTGATGGTAGAGGAGACAGTACGTACGGCGCCAGTGCTAGTCGAGTAATTCTCGCCGTTTCCATCACAGAGGACGACAACTTCACGTTCAACATAGATGATCTCTTCGGTGAGAGGGTCGATAATAGTAGAAGTGACGGGAGTCGGTGTTGGCGAGGGAGTCGAAGTGGATGTGAAAGAAGTAGTAGTAGCTTCGGCAGTGCTGGTAGCTTCGGCAGTGTTGGTCGCGTGGAAAACGTTGTCAATCAAGGTGTTCGGATCAATCGAGACACCACCAACGGAAATGGTGGGGAGCGAAATCACATTGCCCGTGGTTGTGCTTGCAGCTCCGGCTTTCATCGAGGCACGCTCAGGACCCCATTCGATAGGCATACCGCCAGGCAACCCGTCGTCGTGCATTTCACAGTTTTCGTGTTTGATCAGGGAAGGGATGGGGAACTGACATTGACGCTGTTTATCTTCCGACTGGATATCGAAGATTTGGCAGTCCTCAACGATACCTGTCTCGCTTGTGCAAGTTTCAATGGCCTCCTGTAGAACGCCCGAATCCCAGGCCTGCATGAAATCACCGTGGTAACCGTATCCAGTAGGGTCACCGTTGGCAAGCGCGAAATATCCATCGACACCCTTGAATGCGTAGGTGTCCCAAATAGTCTCGTAGAAGAGTGATACTAGGCGAGTTTCGAAACCCTCGGGGCAAGTACCATCCATAACAAGGGACGGGTATGCGACATGAGATCTGTGGTCGTCGGAGTCGGAATCCTTACCATTCCAGCAGGATGGGAACATCAACTCGAAGCGGACTCCATCGGTGCAGTGCTCATCAAGGTAGGTCTTGTTGGGCAAGAAATGACGGTGGAGGGAATCCTCAGCGGTTGTTTGATAGTTCAGGCAGTTGAAACCAAGGGCCTTCTGGCGCAAAGCAGCCTGTGAAGCCTGATCACCGCTCCACTCGGACTTGGGAGGATCGGGAACTGGCCAGGTGAAATTGCGCAGGAAGGGATCGCCTGCCAGCATGCGGAAGTCATCCGGGAAGGCAGTGATATTCTGTCCATACAGAAGGTAGTAGCTGATCGAAGGGTGTTAGTAGAGCTCCACCAACGAGAGTCAAATCAAACTCACGCAAGCATGCCTCCAACCTCCTCAACTACCTGGGCACTGCCATTGGTGTGCATGAAGTACAGAGCGGGGGCCCAGTAAGCAGACTTGTCCTGTGTAACTGCGCACGAGGTGCAATCACTACTGAGGAGCGAGGCCTGATCCGAGCTCATGCCAAAGCCTAGCCGCAAGTCAGCACATCGGTAGGTGGATATCCAAGCTTTAGGGTAATGCGCGCTTACTTCCACCTCCATGGACTGCGTGAACGTGACCTGAGACCTCGTTAGGCTCCACAATGGGGTCCAGACGGGCGAGACCAGATCTTCCACGGCAGGGAAGACGCCAAAAAGCATTTGCATAGCTTGGGAAGAGCGCCAAGCAGGCCATCGCAACGGCTGTCAGTCGAATGTCCTGCATGTTGTTGTGGTTGAGCCGCGTCTACGGGCTCGGTGATTGGATAAAAATAAAGAATGAATGATCTCAGGGAAACAACTGTAAATGACAGACTCGCCAGAAGTACCGAGTCAATCGGTTAGGCGTGGAGAAATGAGTGCGAGAGATGTAGATACTAAACAATACGTTAGTGTAAATTCAGGGCATTAAGCACTCCATGTCGCAGGTTCAAGATTCCAAGCCAATTGTCATCCACTCTTATACCGATTCCCGCCCTTCTACAAGGGTAAAGGAATGATCCCTTGCTTGCGGGCTGAGGGCACTACTTCCTGGGGATGGATCGAGAAAAGATAACAACAACCTTGGAAGGTATGCGGACTTACCGATCAAGCGCGTTTCTCCTGACGTCAGTAAACAAAGGCGATTCCGACGATTTTTTGTTGCGAATCCCTGAAGATGCGCCCATTTTATCAGCCTCAACTCTATTTTTCAATAGCACGCGCGCAAAAATCGACCACAAAAAAGTACTCACTTGGATATTTGGAAACAAATATAGAGAATAAAACAATAAATGAGCGACAAGGGTATGAACGAGTGACAGACCCAGAGATAGGGCAAAAGAGTGCGACGCAGGACGAAGAGGGAGGGGGCAAGGGAATAGATTAAGGAGCAGCACACGGGGATCAAGTACTTCAAGGCGGAAAAGTTAGAAAAATGCACACTCGAGTGAACCCTCAATAATGAGGCGCCAATCCCCCCCTTAGTGCTTGGAGAGGGGCCTGAGTTTAATGAGCGGGCCAATCCCTTGATATTCAGGATATTAGGGTAGGCTGGCGGGGGGGGGAGCATTACTATTAGAACATCAGCCACCCCTCTATACCCCTACTATTACCATTGGGTGTTCATCTGAGAATTAAAATGAACCCTTGGCTAATCCCGAATTTGGCACCAGAACACGAGGGAAAAATAGAGTAGGTAGAGAATATTCTTTCCAAGTGGACTTCCCGTGTGTTCAAGTCGATATCTGAGACGCTGAAACGAACGGCGCGTTCCTGAGCTAGTTTACTAGCCCCGTCTTGGTGACCCACGGTGGCCATGGGGATTGGCTTGACGAGAATATGAAACGACCCGTAAATTATGCCCCCTATCTAGTCTTCAGCCGAAATTGCAATTACGCTTAGAGCGAGCTGCAATATAAAATATAGTATGAACTATAGAAATTAGTTTACTTTGTATACAATGTTGTATATGTTGTATTGCATCCTATCGGATATATGTCATATCATCTATATATACTCCGTACGCCAACTTCATTATAAAGTACAGAATCCATGCTCAAACTATCTCAGACAATAGCCGTTTGAGGTTCGAGGAGAGTTTTAAGACATTATTTCTACCCCTGTAATATCCCGATCCAATGCCCCCGTACCCCGATGTCTCAGATCTTTCGCCTAATACATAGGTGAAACCAGCGAAGCTTTTTAGTATTATCTACGGAGCAGTTCGCCGGCATTTCGGTATACTATATAAAAATAAACTCTTTTATGGAATATATTATATTATCAGATGTGCTGTGGAGATATGAAATCATATTAACAGTACAAACTATATATATTCCAAGATGGATGACTAGATCTTAGTCTAACTATGGAAACTGGAGAGAGAAACTATGTTCCATTTTCAGTTTACGGGTTAGTACTTGGGCGAGTAATTTTTCCTGTAACAAAAGAAAATATTATCTAATACTAACTCGCAAGAGAACCAAGCGCATAAAAGGTGGAGATGCATCATCCATGGAGGAGTTTGATGGTGTTTCCTAAATGGGATCCCTCGGGAAGATCTTGGCATTGATAACGAATATCATACAGATAAGGGTAGATTGGAGCTCTAAAGGTCTATCCTAAGAAGGTAATACATATACAGTACACGGTTCGATGTTGTACAACACAGATTACGCCTTCACCTCCTCCAAAGCCTTTCTCGCTTTTGCAACGCAATTTCGTGCACGGGTTTCAGATAGATTCTCGACAGTCTTG